ATTGGCGCCTGTATTAGGCGCAATTTCACGCCCTGGTTCAGCGTTCGAAGCAGGAGACTGAGAGGTCTGTTTCCAATTGCAAGCAGAAGAAACCTCTGTAAACAAAGATCAGGCGAAGAAAGGTTTGGATCGTAGCCTCAAAATTTGAGAACATATGCAGACGGAAATTTGATACCCACAGGATATTATCTAGTTTTGTTTTTGTTGACTGCCTGTTGAAAGTGTTTAGTATTATGCGATGTTGGATGGTTAACACCATTCTGGATCTTTCTGTTACTTTTTGGAAGCTTAAGTGAGACCTCAAACACCTGGAGGTCTTTTAAATTTCTTTCAGGCGACTTTTACCTTTATAAACTAGTTTTGAGTAAAATACTATTGGTACTGTCTTATAAATTTTCTGGAAAAATAAGATTTTGAATTTACGAGAACATACTGACTAAAATTTCAGTAACCAGTAATCACATGTCCTTTTAGAGGACTTTTTGTGTGAAACTCAGGCAGCAGGTTTGCAAGTCTGCAAATGGAAGATTTTGATAAAAATAAACAATCTGTTTAACAATTGTTACAAAGGAGACCAATATTTAACGATCATTTACCAAAGTCCGCCACAGAAAACTCTGTTTGAAGCAATTTTACTCTGATGGAACTAATGGGCTGACGAGATCGAAATTGTTTTTCATATTATCGAAATTTCAAGGGTGCACCGAGTGTATTCACCTTCTTCTCCTGAGTTTTAAGCCTCGTCTGCAACTCTCTCTTCTCTTTATCCAGCTGTTCAACTTGTCTGGCCAGGATATCATCTGCATCCATGGCTTCAATTTCCTGTTTAACAAGAAAGCAACAAAAGTTTGAACCCAACCTAACTTCACGTTTGATCACCAAGCAACCAATTTGAGTCATACGGAAAAAGTACCCATGGAAAAAAAGGATAGAGAACAAAACTTAGTGAATGGGGGTAGCTTCATTGACACTCTTCCCATATTCTGAAACTACGGCTCACTTAGGTTAACGACTCATCAACCTTACGATTTACGTGTTTGTCTGTAAAAGTAGAGGGACAGTAATCCTAAAAGCCGGCAAGAACGCCCACAATTTTAGTACCTCAATAGGGGTGTTTCTTAGCTCGCGAAAAAGTTTGAGGCTTTGAACAAAGCTATAGCCAGCGAGAGATCTGTAGATGGCGCAGCACTGACCATGTCAGACCCACAGCACACCTCTCTCCTACTCATCTCAAATCTTCTGTAGATTGGGAAACACTGAGCACCCAACTCTGCTAATGAGGGGTTGCTCACAGGCTATAATCCTAACCTTCGTTAATTCATTTACATACTTTATCTCGAGCTTTCAGAAACTACAATCGTCTACTATTTGACAAGTCATTTGAATAAGAAAAGCAATAGTGAAACTTTTGAAATTCTTCTTTTTCTGTTCTTACCTGTTAATTTGGATGTCCAAGTTTATCCATCAAAAGAAATGGCCACGAAAGAGGAAACAGAACAGAACGATTAGTCACTGTAAAGACTGGCTGGGCGAAAATGTTCTGAACGTCACACAGACTTGCTGTTAATCAGCCTATGGGTGGTTCAATCTTATCCTCATAACATTGGTGGATGCTAGGACAAGTTGATGTTTGATTCTGTCATCATTTCTCACAGCAAGAATTGAGATACATTGTAAGGCAGTGCTTAAATTCACTTGAAAGAAACTTAAATTGTCTGAAGAAATTCAAAAGTTAAGTTAAGTTTCCTAGTCTACAACATATTTTGCAACGTTCGAAACATTCCCTTACCCCTGACAACGATGGCGACGAACGATGGGAGGGGAAAAAGTGTTTCAAAAAAACCTTAGAGGGTTGTGTGTAGGGTAGGAAGGGCATGTTGTATTGTTGTAAGAAAGGATTTGATTGATTGGATTGTCTTGCTTTTATTTATTTATTTTTATTTTATTTTATTTTTTTTCAAAGAGACAGCAATAAAAGAAAAGAAAAATCAAAATATTCTCCCAGATTATTGTCTTTTTTCCTAACGGAAATTGCTTTCAGGAATTGCCTCAGGCTAACTGTTTACTTTTCCCAATCACCACACTGGAGAAAGGGCATCACATGAATAATTTAAAAAAAAACGCATCACCTCCTCTGTCAAGTCTTTCAGAGCCTTTGCCCCCACAGTTGTTTTCTTGAGAGCAGCAATCTTGTCCATAGCTTGCTTCTTCTCAATCTCCTGAAGTTCTTGCTTTCTTCGGAGCACCTCTCGTTTCTGTCTCTCTTCATTGAGTCGCTTCTGTTCAGCTTCCAGATTCTCCTTCTGCTGTAACCTCAGCAACTTCTGTTCTTCTCGCTCCTAGTACACACACAAAAAAGACCACTCAAGTCAGCATACATTATACTCAGCATTACACATGTTTGGATGTACTGCAGAGCAAACATTCAATGAGCAAAACAGTACACAGAGTAGCCTGCACCCTGGCCCTCATTGACACAAACGTTTCTCAGCCCACATTAAAGTATAAGGCCTTGAGCAATGCAAGTTAGCCAGTGCTAACAAGCATAATGTCACATTCCCATCCAAACTCTCCCCACCTGGTCTTGCTGTGCTAATAATGAGAGTCTGCACTATATAGAGAGAGTGAAAAAACCATGGACAATTGTAACATGCCTTCAAGTCAATGCATTGTCTTTTACTTTTTTTTTTGTACACAATTATCTGTTCATTTGTCTTGCAATCATCCAAAAAATATAACGAAGTTCTTGCCTGTTTCTTTTGATGACAGTTAATCTGTTACATGTAGCTCTTGAACCTATTGCAAATGTTCACCTCAAATTTGTTGCAGAAATCATTAACCCTCGTATGGGAAACAGGAATGTTTCCTTTGAGAATTGAACATAAAGTGTATAACACTTGAATTTGCATCTAAGATGAATGTAATGAGGAAAGTCTCAAACAAACTCAGAAAATAAGTGAAAAAAAAACCAAAAAAACAATGGACTTACTCTTTTAACATGGAGTGACTCCAGATATTCTTTGCGAGCCTCAATCACAGCCTTCCTTTCCAGCATCTGTTTGTGTTCTTTTTTAGATGAACGTAAATACACCTGAATGATCTTCTGCTGCTCTTCTTGGCACTTTTGCTGAGAGTGAAAAGGAAAACAATCTTTGTTAACGAAAACCTCTAACCCTGTCACATCACCTCACAACATGCTGCATCGATCATCATGCCACACCACATCAAATCTGCTAGTTTACCAATAGTTATCTCCCATCAAGTCACATCAATCATTTGAACCCTTGGGTGACTAAAATTTATTTTCTCCTAACAAAACATTCAGGGTCACGAGAATGAAGGAATTGATCCCCAACTAAAGAAACACCAGATTTTCAAACATATCATTCGCCTTTTTAGTGCCTTGGGTAATGTATAGAGAGTAGTATGGGGGATGTGCATACTAATGGCAGGGTACAAAATGGTTAAATCACAGCAAACACATAAAAAGAGTCACTGTTCTTACCTATTCAAGATTGAATCCATATGAGAGTTATCCACAGGAGCAATTAGCATGAAATAGAGGACAAAAAAATGCCATATTAGTGATCTACAAGATCAATCTTTCAAAAGATGTTTCTTGCGTAATGCAGACTTGCTATTCATCAGCCTATGGGTGGTTCAATCTTATCCTCATTACAATGGTGGATGCTAGGACAAGTTGATGTATGATTCTGTCATCACTAAGAGCAAGTCTGAAGGGGAGGCTAAACATTTCCAATTCAGCTTCCTCACTGTTCTCCTTTTCAGGCAGTAGCTGGTAAAATCTACCACCAGTGGTACTTATCATAATTTTCTATAACTGCTTGAAATTCTTGAAAATTCAGTCCATTTGAAGATTCATTTTACTGTCCTGTTTAAAACAAGGGAAAACACTGCTTCCAAAAAGAGAGCAGTAAGTAATGTATGGTTGTTATATTTGTGTACAGTTAAGCCTCTTTAGATTGTACAAATGATGATAAACAAATACATAACTGTTACTGTGGGATGGAACCTCCATTAGTCTTTGAAAAAGATAAGGCAACTGTCTTTGTACTGACAGTATTGTGCAAAAGGAATTTTGTTGAATTTTGTCAACAGATGTTTGCCTGACTTATGTACATGAACATTTAAAATATTTTACCTTGATGATTTCAGGCTGAATTTTATTAATGGACTTGTGCAAAGCTGTTGACATCAGTGTCAATTGGTTTCTGAGTCGCTCAGATGGCATGGACTGTGAAAGCAAAAAGAAAAGTACAGTGTAGTTGACTAAGACGATAATAATGATAACACTAATAGTCATAATAATTGCACTTGAGTGTTGTAAAACCAAACCAAAAGTAATCACAACAGCAACAAATAAAATGTTATCACAAACAGCCAATGTTAAATAATGTGAAAATATGTTAACAGTGCATAGAAAAGCTACACATGGGTCACCAAGTCATGACAAGTTTTAGTTTTGAAACAATAGGTGACAGAAAAGTGAGAAAAGTTTTCTTGACCAATCAACACAGTTGTGAAGTAAAACAGTACAAAGCTGGATTATTATTAACACTCAAGAGACAACTGCATTTAACCAAGAAAAATGCAGAAAATTATATACCTGGAGATATGGCCCTTCTGGCACCTCCTCTTTGTGAGCCACATGCAAGTCAAGTCCAAAGCTGACGGCTTTAGTTCTGTGATCGATACGCACCTGCAAACAAAACAAAGTGTTTGTGCAATGTTTTGTTTCATTTTGTTGCACTTTTGCTTCTAAACATTCAACAGATTTGATTATTTCCAATGACTGCATCATGAGTAACAATAAGTCTACATGCATGTCTGTATACAAAAAGACATTTCTCATCTCAAAAGTTAAAGGATCCCTAATCAATCTCTAGACAACTCATCCCAAACATTTAAGTCAGGAAGAATCACCACCCTATGTATCTCCACTGTGTGTCTTCCCAATAAATCAGTTCACCGATCAGAGTTTTGTATCAACAGAAATGTTTCACTAAAGCATACCTGAAGTTCATTCTGTTCAAATCAGTTCACTGATCAGAGTTTAGTAACAACAGAAATGTTTCACTAAAGCATACCTGAAGTTCATTCTGTAAAGCAACATCCACAATTGCTCTTTCCAACTGAAATTCTGTGGCAAATGGCACCAAGGATAACAGTCTCGAGAACTCAATGGTTTGGTACACCTGTGACACCTACAACAAAAGTACAAGTTATACTGAGTGACTTGTTCTTATTATAACATCTTTCAGTTCATACATGCACTACAATTGGTCAGTTTAGTGAGCCTTGTTTCACACTGCCTGCTAAATTCAAAAGTTTGTTTGAATTGAAATCTTCCTCCTCTATTTAAACCTAGAGATATAAAAAATATCTCTGAAATGTCATTATCTCACTCTGTGCTGTAAAATACAAAAAGATGGTTCTTTTTTTCCACTAAGATTTATGGCCCCTGCACTTCAGTCTGGGGCTTAAAATCTGAGCAACAAAACTTAGACTGACCTTGAACTCTTTCTCACATTTGGAAAGCCTGATTGTTTGAATTTTTATGAGTTAGTACATGTATAAACACATTTACAGCAACAATACCTGTTTAAGCAGCCGCACAATGGCAACATACTGCAAGGGTTTAATGTACTGATTTAGTTCTAATTCTTCATTCTCCTGTAAGAATTCAAAGAATTCATTGACCCTGGAACAAAACTGAAGAGGAGAGAAGTCCTTTTCAAGGTTCTGGAACAGATCTTGCAACTGTGGCATTATGTGCTGGTGGACATTCAACTTCAACTAGAGTAATCAAGGAAAAAAAAAAAATTATTGAATGTACCCTGAAACCCTGTACCTTCCAGAAGTGATTAACATGTTACTTCTGCTTATTATATCTATACCTTATTCTGCAAATAGAGAATGAGAATACTCAAACTCATTGGGAGAAAGTTTTTCTTGATCTAACAGCAAATTCTCTTAACTAATTTTAGAGGAGATGTGTAGCAGTTAAAGGAGGAAATTAACTAAGGTTTCAAAATTTAAGGCAAGATTGTTCATAAAATCCTATTTGTTGGGAAACAATCTCCCTCCTAATCAATGCTTGATGTAAAATAGAAAAATCTCTGGATGGATTTCCATGTTTGCAAACTTCAATCTACACATTTTTGTTGAAGTCTTTGACACTTAGCATGCAACTTCAAGGGTCTTTTATGAATTCAGGATTGCATGTGAACCTTGTGGTATAATTTTAAAATGCCTTTTTTAAAATTGTTAAAATGTCATGATCCCTGTGAACCTACCATGTCATTTATAAGTGTTGCTCTGGTGGGGATGGTCTGCAGCCCAAGAAGGCTGGCTAAACGACGAGACTTTTCCCGTGCAATCTCATCTAACTCCAGATGTCTCTCTGTTTCACTGAGGGACACAGGGATTGGAATGGCTAGGGTTGCTAGAACAACTCTAGTTGCCATTCTGACAAGGAGAAGGAAAAACACTATCAGTTTAGTTTCAATAAAACTCTTCTTAGTGTCTATAAAACTGTATATAGCACAATGAGGGGCACCAAAAATTTGATTTCATGTGATCTCAAGGACACTCAACCAGAATGAACATGGAGCACTGGTGTTTCCTTTCAGGCCAACATGTGCCAGTATTCCACAAATCTTGGAGCTAAATGTATATGCTGTTAGGCATTTAATGAGCTTTTTGCTTTTTCCCACCTTTTGCCATCCCTTTTTTTCCATTTTATGAGTATCATTTTACCAGTAAGAAGAGATGCTGAACCGAAATCTTGGTATTCACAGACAAACCAACTAGATATACATGTGATACTGAGAGAGGTAGCCCCCTAAATGAAAATGGGGAGGTTGAATTGTACTAAAAATAAGCAACAAATGACTAGCACACCACCCTTACATGTTGAAAGGAAATAATATTACTTTAAGATCTGATTTCCAAAATCCTCTGATTCTTCAATGACCAAAACTTACTTTCCTATCCCAATCTGTAACACTGTAATTTTTTCCCTCAATGTTAAGCACTGAGATCCTTCTCCCCAGCAGGTTGGAAAAGTGAGATTCTCTGTACAAACAAAAAAACATTCCAAAGATTTACTTACTTCTGCTGTTCCTCTGTTGTCATTGTACGTTTCTGTTCCTTTGACAACACATATAGCCGATGCAGAGTGCATGCATGAAATAAGTAATTCTCGGCTTTCCAGAAGACAAGAGCAACCTTCTGATAATAATTGGCCATCACTTGAGGCTTTGGAGGCCTCTTGGACAGCTGCATGAGTCCGTAAACATCTTCAACTGCTTTGAATGCCTCCTGCAGGTTGAGAACAGAACCAGAGAGAGGAAAGTCTTAATTCCAAATTAACATAACTCAGTGGAGTTCATAATCTTTTCCTGAGGTTTATGCATAAGTGAACATTTTTTAAAATAAAAATTTGCAAATGTTCTTAACACATTTTGACATTCACAACGATCTATTATTGAAAAGAAGCACTGACAGTAATAATCTGTTTGTTGTAGAGACCAAAAGATGCTGATATCCTTTTGTAATGATCATTAAGAGCTAACAAACCTGCCAAAGCTCCATGTTGATGGCACTTTCTAATTGTGCCAGTCGCGTCTCTAGATGAAGTTGCAGAGTCTCAGGGTTAGTGAGGTTCACTGTGTTTGGTTGCCCTTGGTGCTTGATGGCATTATTCAAGTGATTCCTCAGCTGTGTACAAAGAAAGAAAAGAAAAATCCCTGCTTAGGAGTATAGTGTTTTTTTTTTGGTAAAAAGCTGTGTGAATTTTAACTAACACAATGGAAAAGATGGGTGTAATGACAAAGTCTCCATCCACTTTAGTTCACACCTTAATATAACTAATGATCTAATTTTTCAATAAAGTATGATACACATGACAAAGTTTAACTCCAAATGATGTATGCACATTTAGTTGACTTTTGACACATGCACAACAAACCTCTTATAATTGCAATGCAACTCTCTCATCCTCTGCCCTCTTTTCAAGCTACATTTATCAAATATCACCTTCAGCAATTCTGTTTGACCTTGTACAACAAAGATATACACAGAGGAAAAACAAAATATAACTGCACCTACATTGTCACAAAGCTTCCGAAATTCTGTGCGACGGGAGTACTTCAAGCAGAATTTAAATGCTAAAAGAAGATAAAATATGAGAGATAAAATTAAACATTAAATAATCATTTACAAGAAATAATGACCTCAAAACCAGGTACTGCCACAATTCTTTAGCTCCTTCTCACCTTGTTGAGCAGTGTCATGATATAACTTCTCCACTCGTGCATTATTTCGTAGCAATTCTAACACATTACGATAAGCCTCCCACAAAAATTTGACCCAGGGTGTCAACATAACTCTGTCTGTACGATCCTGGGTGTCTTCACCACTGACAAAACTGAGCAATATGCTAAAAAAACAAAGTGGACCACACATGTTGAGTAAACTTAAATAATTCAAACACTTAGGGCTAGCAATAGGGTTATACATGTGGTACAAATGGCTTGCATTCATGTCACAATATTGTTGAAAATGATGACAATAATTTTTTACCTCTTATTTTTGACCTCATATATAGTAAATACACATGTTGTGGTTGAGTTCATATCCTTGGTTACGATGTGAATTCATTACATTTCAAACAGGCAGAAAAACATTCAACAATGTATTCAACAAAGCAGGACATGACGGAGGTCAACGATAAATCTAGACCATGACAAATCTATGTAAATATATAAGCCATCTTCAACCCTTAGAAGTATATCTGGATAAACATGTAACACAGCACTTCCTGCAAGTGTTGTACTCAATCATTAATAAATGCACATGTATGATTAACAAATAGTCAATGGAAAATTTAGGTACACTTGTTAAAAAGATCACTGATAAATTATATCTAGTATCAAGCCAAATTAACCCTAATTAAAATATGATAATTTGGTTTTATAAACAGAGTTTGTAATCTAAAATGGCCACTGTAAGGAGTTTCTAAAGGTGATATTTTGACCATTAACCCTTTGTTAGAATGAAGAATAAATTGGATTCACTTTGACAAAGGCTAAACTAAGGTATATAAATTTGCATTTTGAAGTTTGATACCTCTCTGGTGTCTGCAGCTGATCCAAATCATCCACTGTGGGAACCTGCTCGCGAGACTCCTGCCTGGCAGTCTCGGCGCGGTCTTCAGCAAGCTTGAGAAAGTAGCGAATGACATCTTCAAGAGACGCAATATTAACTTGCTGGCAAATTAGTTTGTACTGGTACAGCCCTTCTTTAGCTACATGGCTTCGCTTGAGATCAACACACAGCTCCAAGTACTTGAAAAGAATAGGCTCATGAATCTTGTTCTGCCATGTGCGATGCTTCTTGCTTTTAATGACATCATACAATGCATCCAAAGCTGGTTCTTTCTTTCCAACTTCAATAAACTCTGGATATGTGGGATTTTGAAAAAAAGCATATAACTGTTACCATTGGTAAGATAATTATGGAGATTTATGGACTATATGACTGTTTGAGGATTGTGTTGTATCTTGCAATCAAAATGTTGCATACTGCAATTACACATTTTATCAGAATTACTTTTCAGAATGACCACGGTACTCCTATGTTGTGATGATATGCACTGTTACCATATTAATGTCAAAGTCAGAATAAATGCGCTTCTGAACATATTTTTTACCCTTTTCAAGCAGGCAACAAACACAGCTGGTCAAGAGCAAGTAATTGTACCAGAATAATTAAAAAAAATATTCTCTTTCTCAACCAATCAGCATTCAGCCCTGTACATGATAAGATGCCAAGAGCTTTTTCCTTGTTCAGAAAATTCAATACTAAAAGTAAATGAGCCACCTGCTTCCTTCAAAACCTTTTGAAAAAGCAATTCCACGGTTAACACAGGTTCAAATGTGATAAAAGGTTGGTAATCCTTGGTCAAAGCCGAGGGAGAGGTCACTCCAGACAGCCGAGTAAAATTTAGATTAATAATTATAAATTTAACAGCTATAGCGATTTTCGTCTTATAGGTACGTTAAGGGCGGCTATTTTCAATTATCTGTATGATATGTATGTAGATAATAATAACAAATGTACGACCTTAGATACACTTTAAATAATACGTTTTAATACGGTTTTAGTGGTACCAGCAAAATCACGTGGTTAATATTACATTCACTGAAGTACACGTATAAATTCGATTTGAAAGCGAGAACTCTTAAAGGACGGCAAAGAAACACGTACGAATAGAAAAAAATGAGTCGTTAATAAATTAACCACGGGTATAATTCATAACGATTGTGCCCATGGTTTCACCGGCGATGTTATAAATGAATCAAATAAAATTTACCAAGCCTGTGCGCTGGTGAAATCGGCCACACAAAGGATTATAATACTGTACAATATTTCCCTTTAGCTGCTTTAGAAGCCTTTAAAACAGGTTTAAGATAAACTATGAAAGCTGATGGCGAATGTACAATCGATAGTTCTTACCGTTCGCTCTTTTAAGAGCATTTTCCGGTCGCTGAAAGTAGACCGGCATGATTAAACACGTCGTCCTTTCCAACCTCCTTCGCCAAGAATCGAAGAGAAGTGACCGAACTGCGTTATGGTCTGGATTTTGCCTCGTTTTCAAAACATGTTCCCTACACGCGCGAACACGCGTGACGGAGGCGCGTGTTTCCACTTACGTGGCTCAGGTGTTCACTCCAGGAGCACACAAAAAACAAAGAAACGAATTAATGTTGCAAAGACGTAATCAAAGGACTGAGACAGAGGGATTTCGGGAAGCATTCGATCATTTCTTCACTCCAGATAAAAGGCATTGAGTAAGCTTGATCACTGAAGATATTGTGAAATTCTCAAACTCGTTCACAAGGAAGGAAAGCAGAACTCCTTGGAAACAAAACTTGGTGTCTTGTGGTGTTACATAAAAGTAAACGGTACGGGACACAAAACTCTTAAATCAACGACTGGTCGAGAAAAAAAAAACACTCGATTTCCGGCTGCCTACCCTGTCTCAAAAGAACACAGCAGTCAAACGTTAGGCATGCGCAAAGGCATCAGTTTTTGCCGCCCTCCCGCCAGTCTCCTGTGCAAATATTTATAGGAAAACACAAGAAACAACAGATTTCTCGCAAAAAAGCGCAAAAAATTATTGAAAAACTCAGAAATTTGTGAAACGGCTCAAAAGTAAGGAAAAAGAAAACTCAAAATGCTCGTACTCGCACGTTTAGGAGTAACGCTCGACAAGGGTAGTTGTTATTAAGTGGGAAAAGACTATTTGGTGACAACGTATTCAGTTACCCGAATAAGTAAACGAAAGCCTCGCTAATTTGAAGCTTGAACATGCTAGCTTATTTGTTCGAGAACACTAAGCGAACAGTTTTGCGAGGACAAAGCTCTAAGAAAACTGTGGTCCTCAAGAAACGCATGATAATGTCGGTCCAGGGCAGAGGTCAGAGCTCATAATCCATCGAATATTTTCACTCGTGTGCGATTGGTTGCAACATGGCAGGTGGCCGAAACGCTCAAGCGAGCGACAGTCACCAGTTTTTCAAAATGGATTAACACTTCGTTGCAACAACCATTTCGACGCTACTCTGTTTGCAACCGTCTCCTTACGAGCGCAACCAAAGACACTTTAAGGATTCCAAAGGTTTTATTTGGCTTGAAAACAGATGAAGTCGAATTTTTATCCCTGCATACTTAGAGCTTTGTTTTTATTCAGGATGGTGTCCATCCGCCAGTGAAAGAAAAGACCTAAGGAAGTATCACCCTTGTTTGGTGGGAAAGGCGAAAGTATCAGGCTGATGAAGCCATATTTATGGCGATTAGGACCGAAATAAACATTTCCCCTTGCTCAAACC